CCAGTGCAATCTTTTCTGTGGTCTGCTGAATGTCCACTGGACTCCAAAGGGGTTAGGCTCTAAGTATAACACCTTTCCCCAATTCAATTTTCTCATCACTTAGTTCTAATCAGCGTTTCTTGTCCTCAGCACTATTGACATTTAGACAGTTTATTATTGGGGCTGTCTTGTGCACTGGAGGATATTTAACAATATCCCTGGCCTCTAGCCACTGGATGACCTAAAATGTCTTCAGACATTGCCAAGTGGGGACCACTGCTTTAAATAAGTCTTACTTATTTTTGAGATGTTTTACTTAGACAACTAAGTTTGCATTAAAAAAACTTCCCTGCCGTACTATTAGAAACTGAAATGTTTCTCCATTTTCAACATTTTAACATGCATACCTGCCACCAGATAGCATCAGCTGCTAAGTATGTATCATTTTACAAACTAAAAAGTCTGAACTTAATTTAAAATTTTCCCCCTACAAAACCAGTATTAACTGGCAAGATTATCTAATATATCTACTGTTTCTAATAAAAATAAAGAAGAGAAGGCTCATGATAAGGTAATGGCCTAATATTTACTCTAGCCAAAACAGAAACATCTAAATTCAGAAAACCATGACCTCTGCTGTATATCCTATAAAATATGCACAAAGATTAACTTTTAAATTCAGAACCGAACAATTGGGCTCACTTACAATAATCAGATGGAAAATAAAGGTTTACGGCAAACAGTGTTTCCCTTAACTAGGCAAAAAAAAAAAAAAAACATTATGGGAAAATGTCACTCTTACTTATCTTCAGAAGAAGATTCTTGCTCAACTTTCATTCCTTCAGAAAGACTTCCTTTAAATTTATCTTCCTTTACTTTGCTTCTGCTCCTACGTCGACCACCACACCGTGATCGAGACCGTCTTCTCATGCGTGATCTGCTCCTCCGACCTCTGTCCCTATTTGAGGAGAAAAGATTACATACATATCCCCCCCCCCACACACACACGATATTTTTTTTTAAAGTTAAAGTTGGGGAGGCTGTGCTGTGTTGGGAGCAAGGGTATACAGGAACTCTGTACTCTTCAAAAGCTCAATTTTGCTGAACTTAAAACTGTCGTAAAAGTATTAAAAAGCCAATTAAAATTTTAAAATAAAGTAATGTATTATCAGAAAGACTGGACATGATTAGCTTAACTGAAAATAACTAAAACGAGGCAACTCTACTTACTGACTACTAAAGAGCACAGAGAATTCTGGGGGTAATAAAAACGTTCTATATCTTGACTGTGGTAGTTATACAGCTCTGTTTATCAAAACTTATATTACTTTACACCAAAAAGGGTGAATTTATTTTATGTAAATGATGTTTCAATAAATCTGATTTTAAAAAAGATCTTTGTTGATAAAGTATGGGAAGGACAAATGTGACAAAAATCCCAAGTTTAACTGATACGGCCCTCAGGCATTTTTATAAATGCCTAAAGGTTAAATGCTTCATGTTAAACAAATAGAAAGTGTTCTTATATTTCAAGCACTAACAGTAAAGTTTATGTTAGAAGGATGTAGAACTCCAAACACACAGGCTATGAGTCTAGAAAGGATTGACAAACTCCCTGTTAATCACATCTGACAATGATGTTCATCTCAGATTTCTTCTGAAACCTTACTAAAGGACAGCAAAAGGAACAATTAAAAAGAAAAATCTTCATGCAAATAAAATGTGAAGAGTCATGACAGCTGAGTTGCTAACAAAATCTTGAAATATGCAAACCAGAAAGAATAGTGACAGATCAAATCTAAGTATTAGTCCAATAGGAAGAGACAAGGTAAAAAAGAAACAAGTCAGTGCATGCCACAAAACCCCAGAAAGCCTCAAGAACTGGAGATACTATGTCCTCTGAAGGATAAAGCATGAGATAAAAGCTAAAAAGAATTGGTTGAAATCCTTTAGGAACAGCTTCACTCTACATATATTCCCCTTCCTGACTCAGCAGAAAATGCCAAACATCCCCCTTCACATTCTGGCAGAATACTTGAGATTTTTTTAATAGAGAGGTACTGGTTGTAAAAACTGGACCAAGGTGCCAGGAAGGCACTTCACTGAAAGTAGGATTCAGGGGAAGTTCACATAATGAAAAGACCAAAACTCTAGTGCCAGTCATGTCTAGACTCTGCAGCAGGAGATGAGAGGATTCTGGAAAACTCACAAGTCCAAAAGAAAAGATATAGTGTTGTGGATTGCTAAAGTCTCTACTTAATCACCCTGAAGCGATGCGATACTAATCCACAAGTTTCACATTGTCAGAATGGAAGAAAGCTTCTATCGGCAGTTCCTAACTTTTAAATCAGAAAAAGCAGCAAGGAAGGACCCAGCTAGCTATCTGAGAAAAGTCTTCAAATAAATGAAAAGGTAAATAAGCAGCAAAAGAAACACGGGAAAAAACAAAGTACAGTTGACCCCTGAACGACATAGATCTGAACTGGGTGGATCACTTATACGTGGATTTTTTTTTCAATAACTACAGTATTTTCTCTTCTTCATTTTCTTAAGAACATTTTCTTTTCTCTAGCTTACTTTATTATAAAATAGAGTATATAACATACAAAACTGGTTTTAATCAACTGTTTATGTTATTGGTAAGGCTTCCAGTCAACAGTGGGCTATTATTAGTTAACTTCTTGGAGAATCAAAATGTATAGGTGAATTTTCAGTGCCCCTAACCCCATGTTGTTCAAGGGTCAACTGTATAGGTAAGAGAAAGCTATAAAGAACAAAAATCCCACAAAAAAATTCATTATATTTGAAATAAGAGGCGCTAGTTCCATAAAACAAAAGTAAAATCTTATAAAAAATTTACAGCCAAGAGGTCCTGAAAATATATTTATATTTTATATATATTTACATATTTTTATATATATGTATATATAAAGCTTAAGGGGGAAAAAATCAGTAAAAGGGTAAGAAAGTAGAATAAGAACAAACATAAAAGACTGAAAGTAGAATAAAACAAACATAAAAGATAAGTGAAAAAGAAAAAAAAATCAATGGAATTACATAGACAGTCCAATGGGGAGAAAACAGAAAACAATGGAAAAGAAAGCAAACTAAAACAGAGAGAGTGAATTTCCCCGAATAGCACAATCATCCTGCTATAAAGGACCTATCTAGTGCCCAGCAAAATAAATGGAAAAAAGAAGCCACATTACAGTGAAATTTCAGAACGCAGGACATTTATTAAAAAGAGAGGGACTGGGGGAATAGAGCAAGTCCTGTAAAAAATGACACCAGAATAGGACTTCTCAATAGCAATATGGGAAACTAGAAAACAGTGGAATAACAACTTCAAAATTATTTTTTTTTTAGAATAATAAATGACAATTTCAAAATTCTTAAGAAAAAATGATGTCAACCTAGAATTCTATTCCTTGACATATCAGCAATGAGAATAAAAGGCATTTTTTAGAGACTTAAATCCCAAACCCACATACTTCCTTCAGGAAGCTATTGGAGATTCACTACCAAAGCAAGGAGGCACTGGATACAGAAAACGGAATCACAAGAAAAAGAAAAACAAGGGAAAACCAAGAGAATAGGAAAACAAATTCTACAATAACTGTATAAGCAGGGCTATCAGTCAGTTTGAAGCCAGAAGGCTAGAAGCATTAGAATAAAGGCCCTTTAACTGTTCAGTAAGGAATAATATGCATATGATCATAATAGTAATTATGTATCTGGAAGCATAGAGAAAGGTGATAAAATCAGGCAGAAGAGAAACATGTTGAGGGGTAATAGTAAAAACTAATTGTCCAAAACAGAGTATCAATAGATAACCTGGCAATAACTTTAAAAAATTTAAACAAACACATACTTTAGGAATCTGGGATACAAAATACTCAGAAATATGTAAAGATATATCCAGTGGCTGTAATGTAAGCCTTTCGTGTACCGTCTCCTTAAACTACATGCCTGTATTAGTTCAATTAAAAATGTTTAAAGATTGGCAAATGAACATCTATTTATGTTTTAGGTGAAAATATTTAATGTATATGTTATTTTAAAGCCAATCTTTTTGATTAACCAACTAACTACAGACTGCATGTGCTTCACATAAAATGGTTTCTACTACTGTGAATTAGGTCTTTGCCTAGAGTCTCTCTCTCCTACTGAGGATGTCATCTTGAGGCTGTGTTCTTAAGTTAGTATGGAACTATAAGACAGGAAACTGGGCTGCTATGATCTAAGTTAAAAAAAAAAAATCCTAAGCCTAGCTCATTTAGTATTTCTCTCAAAAGTAGAGAAAAAAATGTCCTACTTTTAAGTTTTTGGTGAACACTGATTTATTTAAATTTGAAGGGAAGCTCTACTAAACATTCAGAGTTTAATGAATCTTTACCTTCTCCGAGGAGACCTGCTTCTTCTTCTGGGAGACCTGCTACGCCTGAGTTGGGAGCGAGATCTCCTTCTAATGGGAGATCTACTGGCTCTTCTTCGGGTTGGAGACCACCTGCTGATTGGACTGGCATCTTTTGATCTCTCACGTCTACTGAGGATATCGTCTCGAGGTCGTGTTCTTATGGAGACCAAATACAAGTTAATAGAAAAATAAGTTCAATCAAAATAAATTTCTTCTACACGTAATAAACATCTTTTTATTTTTTTAATGGACTTTTGAGAGAGAGAGAGAGAGAGAGAGAGAAAGAAAGAGAAAGAGAGTGAGAAAGATTGGTGTTTTGTTCCACTTATTTTATGCCCTGACTGGGGATCCAACTTGCAACCTTGGTGCAGCAGGACGATGTTCTAACCAAGTGGGCTACCCAGCCAGAGCTGTAATGAACATCTTAGGAAAGGGCATGCAATTGCAGTGATTTATAAAAATCCTTTTGTTGTGCTTTTAGGTATTATTCTTATCTTCTATCATTAATGTTTATAACTTTTGGAATCATGCAGAAATGTTAGGGAAAAAATTCTGTCTTTCCAAAATGTTTGTTAGAAAGAAGACACCTTTAAAAATAAATAGAGTGTTCGCTTTGGCAGCACATATACTAAAATTGGAATGACACAGAGACGATTAACATGGCTTTGTGCAAAAATGATGAGCAAATTCATAAAGCATTCCATATTTTTAAAAATACATACATAAAAATGTTCACAATGCTAAAAAGAAAAAGAAAGGGTATGCTAAACTAAAGATTATAAACAAATTAACATAGTGTAACAAAACTTAAATTCAAATGATCACAATGATGTTTTGGTGTTATGGCAGGCACACACACAAAGAGCTTATTTACTCTAGTCTCAAAATTTAAAGAATTGTTAGAGATTATTCTTATGGTTAAAGTCACTGATTCTTATCCTGGTTAAACAACTCAAAAACTTTCCCGAGTGATAATATTCGATTTCCTAAGTTTAAAGACTTTTATTTCTAAATTTGACATTTTTGCAATTGAGTCTTATTTTTAAAATATCAATTACATATAATAGCATCTTACAATCAACATAACCTTACAACAGAGAAAATATTAAATAAGGATTTAGGGAAAAGGACAGTTCATCTAGTCATGGAAATACATACTGGCATAAATTTCCCAGAAGGAAATTCGGCGATAACTTTTTAAAATATAAATGTACATAATGTTAGACTTTGCAATTTCATTTCTGTGAATCTATTCTACAAAGAAACCTCACACATGACCCATGGATATCTTTGCATACAATCATGAAAAAATAGAATCAACCTTATTTTTATCAGTTTCAACAAGAGAATGATTAAATACATTATGTCATATCTGCGTTGTGAAGCCTAGTAATGTTACATAAAGAATTTTCAAGTGTCTTTATGTATTGTAAGAGAAGTATTTGATGTAAAAGGGTTGAAAGACAGATTCCCAAGACAGTAGAAGAATAGAGAGGGAGAAGATTTCCATGCTTTTTCTGCATTATTTAAATTTCTCTTTAATTAGTATTTCTTCTGGAATTCAAAACTTTTTTCTTCAAAAAATGAACTCTAATCTTTAATAAACTCTTTAAAATATCACAACTGAATGCAAATTGAAAGAAACCAGGATCCTTAACACTTTAGGACCTGGGCGGTTTAGTTCAGTTTGTTAGAGCATCATCCCAATACACCAAGGTTGCAGGCAGGTCTGATACCTAGTCAGTGCACATACAAGCAGCAACCAATGAATGCATAAATAAGTGGAACAACGAATAAATGCTTCTCTCTCTCTCTCTCTCCCCCCGCCCCTTTCTCTAAACTCAATAATTAAGAAAAGGACAAGAGAAGAGAAAAAGAAGAAACACTTCAGATAACATAATCAGTAACATTAACAACTACCTCAGTGCAGGAAAGCTATAGAAAAGGGGCCATTACAATATAACTTATAAGATTCAAGAGTATCTCTTAAAATAAAGCTCTCTGAAAACAGTATTCTTGATATTTCTTGAAAAATGACAACTCTAGCTTGTATTTATACCCACACACAGACAATATTAATATGCAATAATAAATGGCTATGAATTCATATCCTTACACAGAATAAGCCAATGTTCTTTTAAGTGAAACTTGGCTGTTAATTTCACATACCTAATCACTGAATATAAAGATATTAAAAAATCTGTTTCTAGATTAGTTTAGCTGGTTTAAACAGCTTCCCACTCCTCCCTACCAAAATCCTTTCTGTGCCTTAATTATTTATTACTTCCACCATCCTAGTACATAGGCAATCTGATTTTTTCATTTACAAACGAAGTACAACTGTTACTCTACCTCATGAGGAGAGAATCACAAGAATTTGAGAAAAAAAGTAATGGACTAAATATATTATACAAATATGGTTATTTTATTATTGGTAAAAATAAAATCATCTCTTATACTAGTCTACCTAAACTTAAGAGGGGTTTTTTTGCAACAATTGATAAGTATATGAATTAGTAACAAAAAAAAATTTCCACTTTGAATTTCATTGTATTATGGGTCTAAAAAGAAATTATAGTTCCAAATTATACTGTTAGAATTCAAAATCATACCAATTCAAGAAGAGACATATCACAATCCTTAAAACTGACACGTCCCTTTTCAAAGTTAAAAATTTCAGACTATACTGTTAAATGAATATCCTTCTCTAGGAACTATACCCACTTCCCATAAATAGGTATACAGAGCTTTATCTGCCAAATTACTTGGATTTAAAGGAATGGGTCTGCAAATTAGATACTAAATTAAGAACCTGAAAACAAAGCTATTTGTCACCAAGTTGAATATTTGCAAATTGCCCATAATTAAGATACACAATGACAAAACTGCAAATATTAATGTAGTCACTGGAATGGATATTTAAAAATATAAAACTCATTATAATTTCATCTTTCATGTCCACAAGTTCTAATTTCTCCTCTAAAATCTGGTGCATTGGTCAAAAGCAGTAGTATTTTAAAAACAAGTTACCTTGGGGAAGAAAGTCGTCTCCTTTCTGGTTCTCTTCGTTTTCTTTCCAAAGATCGGCTCTTGGCTCTTCTACCAGGAGACAGAGTTCGAGAAGGTGATTTGCTCTGTTTAGACCTCCTATCATTTATAAGTGGAGATCTACTTCTTCTTGACTTATCACGTTGTTTTGGAGACAAACTTCTTCTTTTAGGACTACGACCAGGCCTTCTACTGGGTGACCTATTTTCTTTCCCAGAAGAAGCATCTTTAGAGGGAGATTTAATTGGCTTCTTTTCTTTATCAGTTTCAGACCGTTTTGATTTTCTCTCTTTGGACCGTGACCTTCTGTCTTTGGATTTACCTCTTAAGTCAACTGGGGATCTGGATTTTTTGCCTCGATCCCGACTTCTGCTCTCATTTATAATTGGGGATTTTTTTCTGTCTTTTGACTTACTTTTATCTTCAATTTTAATCTTGTCTTCAGCAGGAGATCTGGCCTTCCCAATTTTCTCTTGAGATCGCCTTCTAAGGGTAGGAGATTTTGATTTTCTTGCTTGATCTTGAGACTTACTTCTTTTGGATGGACTTTTGGATTTCTTCCTCTCCTTTGATTTGCTCCTAGTTGTCTTGTCTTTAATTATTTCAACACCTCCCTTACCTTTCTTTTTGTCAGACCTATGTCTAGTCCGTTCTTTGGATCTGCTTTTGCTTCGTTTTTTTGTACTATTTTTATTGTCCATAAGTTCAAGTTTCCCCTTTGTAGTTGAAGATCTAGTACTAGGCCTATTTCCATTTCTTGCCTTTTCATGAATTTCCCCCTCTTCTTCAGAGCCAGATTCATAACCTTGTAATATGAGCCCCATCCCCGACTGGACCTTTCCTTCCATTAACTCATTATCAAGTTCAGCTTTAATCAAGGCTCTCTGTTTTTCCAAGTCTTCCAGCAAAGCTAAATCATCAAGTTTAGTTCTTTTTGCTGGAGACATACCTTCTTTGTCAGAAGCATCAATAACTTCTTTTCTCTTGTGTTTCTTATGCTTATGCTTATGTTTATGTTTTTTATCCTTGTCTTCTTCTGATGAATGTTTATGTTTCTTATGTTTACTTCTGTGTTTATGCTTCTTTTTTTTGTGACGACTGTGCTTATTTTGAGATTGGTCTTCTGATACTTCTCCATTTTCTTCATTTACACTTTTTTCAGAATTATCAGCATCTTCCATCCTATAAATTTATCAGACACATTTTAAAATCATTTATCAAGCATTCGGGATCATAACAAAATAACAATAAAATACATCTCAATTTAATATGTAAAATATTTTCATAACAGCTTCAGACATTTATTCCAACAGCATGTGGCAAGAAGTGAGCTGAATAGTGACTTAACTTTTAATATGTTTCTAATGATTGAACTCAAATACCAAAAGTATTAGAGGAAATACAAAGTGAAGAGGTTAAAATAATTACACTTAATAGAAAAAGGGAACCCAAATCAGATAAAATGTTAGTATCTATTTAAACAGTCACTCAGTAACTTGATTTTTAAACCAGCATTTCCCACACAGACTTACCAGCAAAAGAATACTCCATATTCTTTTCTTTTTTCCCATAAAACAGAAAGACATATATTGGGAGACTAATTTATTTCTCCACTTGAAATTCAGAAGCACAATTTTTTTTTAAATCTCTGGGGCCAATATTGAGCCATATCCAAAATAAGCACTCCATCATGTACACTGGTGGCTGATGTTTACAGTACCCGTCTAAGGGTTAAAACTTCAAAGTAAACTGACCAGGGGTTAGTACTCTTGGCCTGTAGCAGCCACTGAGCAATCCTGTGGTTGAACCACATTAAAGGGTCTTCTGCAAGTCAACAGTAGTCCAAAATCAGCAATTTCACATGGTCCAACACAGTATTTGCTCAGTGGGCTATTTAATCTAAGTTTCAAATGAAGAGATTAGTTTCTCAAAATATGTTCATATTAATACGTGGCTTTTGTGCTTAACTGTTCGGGCTATCCTGAGTTTATGATTCTAAATTATTTTGCTAAATGCTTGATATTCAGTATTCCCAGGTTAAACAAAGACTACAACAGCAGTATTCTAATTTTACCCTTTAAAAACACACCATACTAAATCATCACACCCTAGAATATGAGACCAGAAAAACCCACACTTAAGTTTATTTGAATTCAGGCCATCACACTAATATTTTTGGAGGAAAATATGAATTATTTAGTCAAAGTCCTTCAACTTAAACACTCCTGTACTTTTATTTATTTTTTTGCTATATACTACAATTAGCTCCGTGCAAGTTAAGAATTAATAATTCTATTCATTCAATCAATCTGTTTTAACATTTTAAAAAGTCATCTGTATTTGAATACACACATTAAGCCAGGTAGCAGGAAAACAAAGATGTGTAAGGCCAATACTGGCCTCCCTGAAGAAAACTACAGTCCAGTGGAAAAGAAAGTGTAATGATAATGACATGAATAAGGGCATTATAGGAACACTGAAGGATCACCTAAAATCATTTTGAAAATGATTAAGGGAAGTACCTTGCATGCGACTACAGAGAAACCCAAGCTATTTGTTAAGCATGAACTTTGGAAATAAGAAATGTTTATTGAAAAGGTACATCAGTTGAAACACTGCCCTAGAGAATGGGTAAAAAAATTAATCAGAAGGGGAAAGGGAT